GGGTAATTTAACAGCGCTCGAATAAAGCCCTTATCGCTTCACAAGTGGAAAGGGGATTTACAACAAGTTTACTGAAAACTGCAGTAGCTTGATCACTTTTTATTCCAGTCTGTAGTAAACTTGTTGCAATCACTGTTCCCTTGTCACGCCACCAGATGTAGTTATAAAGCCGCACAAACGATACGACTGCACTTAAGTGGAAATTTTGTGTTGTTACAAAAAGATTGGGCAATGTTTGAAATAGCTCCGGTTCAAGACAATCTCTCTTCCGTGAATAAACTGTTAGTACAAGAGGTTTTAGCAACGAATTTGAAATTGAAACCAACGTTAACAAGTTGCCATTGTTTCTATGGCAAATGGTGAAATGCTCTTAGCTTCAGATCGAGGATTTTATTGATCAGTGTATGTTTCAGTATAACCAACGTGTATACTTGAATACACCGAGCATTTTTACTGAAACAGTTATAAATGGCAATTTTATACTCTTCGTAACTATGAAATACAAAAAAAAATTTCCGTGTTTCTATTGAGTTTTAGTATAAATCTAAAAGCATTCTATCACGAATGCTGTTCTCTGTGCAGTGTGCGCTCGTTAACAAACTGGCGGCCTCCTGGTAAAGTGCCAGTGAAGAGGATTTAGATAAAGTTTTGAATGACCACTAGATTCGTGTTGAAACAAATAGATTATCTTAGATTAACTTAGAAACTCCCATCCCAACAATTTTGAACATTTAAAACTGAGCTTAAAGAATAGGCCCTCTACAAGAAATTTTAAAAAGTTACACTGAGTTAAGCTAATTCCCCTGAAATAAAACTGCACATAGATTTTTGTTCAAACTTTGGCCAATGAATATTTATCATATGAGAACTTAAATTATAAAATAAAAAAGGGGGTTGGCCGTGGTCGTTAAGGAGCAGTGAGGCATTGAAAATGTCCCATTTTAGCGTTATTTAATGCTTTTTACAAGAACGCATTCGAAGTCATTGTAAACTCTTTGTGAGCCCAGACTCATGAAACACGCCTCAAACTACAGTCAATACTCTTGTCAGACACAAATAAACTTTTCAAGTTTGATTTTGACAGACAGCTGAATCTTTGTTAAAATATTGGAAACAAATTGCTTGCCACGGCTATCAAACTTCAAAATAGAAAAGACTACAGTGTAGCTCCTTTTCTTCTTATTTATTCAATTTTCAAACATAGAAATCAGATCAGTCTTTTCTCACTCAAAGCTAATGATTAGTTGATTAAAATGACTGGAAAAAAATTTGGGGTGCCGAGCTCGTTAGGTATATAGCTATAGCTATTTTTCAACTGACAGAACACCAATATTAAGGCAAATCCGCCATGTTTTCAATGTGCGCGTGCACGAACGCGCGCTAATGACGCCATAAATTATGTGCAGTAAGGATGTACAATGCAATACTGGGGAATGACCTTAATGCAATACTAAAGGACTTGATCGAATTTAATCAAGTCATCAGTGGATTTTTGCCTTTGTGGGTACAGATGGACCATTACTACATTCTTGATTGGCCGAGGGACTGCGTTAACCCTTTACCGTTCCTTTCTATTTTTAGAAACAGCTTAGGGGGAGTTTTCACACGACCCCTTGTTAACACTCGATGACACCCGATCTAAGGCCATTCTTTGTTCCAACAAAGACTGGGATTCCCTTTGGCCGCTATTTTGCTTTTGTCATTTGCAGAAACAAGATATTCCGCGGGAAACTAAGAGACCCCTGTGCTAATTACAGTTCTAAAAGTAGAATAATATGGGAAAGGGTTATTTCTAGGCTAAAGTACGTATGGAGGCTCCGGGGCATGGGTTCCTGGTAATAACCAAAACACCTGCATGGAAAAAAGAACAGAGCGGCAACAAAGATAAAATGTATGGAGCAAACCAAGGACAATTTGCGCCACTGAAAGTTGGAAAAAAATGCTCCTTAAAACCGCTACAACCTTCCTCACCATAAACATGATGCTCTGTTCTAACAGCCTCTCTTTTTAGATCAGCAACATCGTAACCTTGGCAACAGACCGGAGGTCTAGCAAGCTTGTCGTGCTTCTCACAGGAATGGTGTCTCTTATCTACGCCCTGGCAAACCCTATCATCTACGGCAAAATGAGCATGCGCTATTGGTGGGCCTACAAGCGTGTGTTTGGAGCAGCGTGTGGGGTTTGCAAGGAGAAACCAAGATCTTGGAGCATTTCATTTTCAACCAAAAGTGAGCTGACTTTATTCAACTAAGTATGGATGTGTCTTGTAACTGCCTGCTCAGAGAAGTTATTATTCATTGTCAAAGCTAAGGTCAAAAGGGATTAAAACCCTTGCCTTTTTCTCCTTTTTTTTTTAATTAATGCGGAAACTGCAATTAACATGTCACTCTCCAGACACCCAACATTGGCGTGAGTTGGGTTCTTGATTTTTGCTGTGCCTGCGAGCTAGTGTTTGCAAAAATCCTTCCTCCGTTTTGATACTTAGCTTTTAAAAATCTTACCGCACATAATATTGTGTAGTGGGAACCCGTTATCCAAACGGAGACGAAGCCTCTTCAACGTACGTGTATATGGTATTCATTGGTTTCAAGTCAACAGTTAATGTCACGTAATCAGCTTTACTACATGGCAAAGCCGTCTTGAGATAAATCTGAGCGATCTGATTGGTTTTTTCTTGGTCTGGATTTTACCATACGGACCGTTTTCATGGAAGCGATTAAGAGCCGTGTATTTTTTTGGTTTTCGAAAGCCGGCGAGCGCGAGATAATGAATTACTCACGAACCGTACTGGGAAAGATCGGCCCTCGTTCGTTTTTACGCACAGAACCAAAATTTAACCAGCAATCTGTTGCTGGTTATAGAAACTGCTTCAAGAAACTGCTCCTTTTTGTGCCCCTAAAAGGTTTCATTTATTTTTCAGTCTTTCCTTTCTACTTGCAGCTGGCACTTCTTACATGTAACAAAAAAGCACATTGCTATGAAGAGCCGGTCTTTCGCTTGGGTACCAAATTTTGTTCAGGAATGACGATCATTTCAGCCACCTGCAAAGCTTGCTCTCTATTTTATGTTTAATGTGATGCTGATGACATTAACGTTTTCTGAAATCCATTCCTAAGGTACAAGTCGTTCACGGACTCTGACAAATCCACAACTCCCCAAGGAACAAGAGTTCCACGAAAACGGCATCAACAACGTACGGTCTGGGGACCAAACAACCGCGCATGGGCAAGCTCAAGGCACCTCTGAAGTGCAGCCTAGTCGTGTGATAGAAGGCTCAGATGACATCACAGATGGTGTCGTTGTTGATTTCCGTAGTGAGAGAGACAGTACATTCAATAGTGAAGTCACAAACAAAGAAGAGGCAAACAGTTCTTTCTTGTCAAATGATTTGTTACTCTAAGATAAGACTAGAATTGTTAACTGGACTTTTTCAGTATAGCGTTATATCTTTATACATGGACGACTTTGGCTTAATTAATGTTCGACTGTAAATAGTCGTTGTTTTAGACAGTAGAGCGAAGCGCGAGCCAGTGGAATTCAGATTGCCTCTACTTTCTAGACTATGTTTGTTTAAAAAATGCTAAGCAAAATTTCCTCGGCCTACTCTGGACATTTCCGTTCGGACTAAGACTAGGTATCAGTTAAGCGTTGCAGAACGCCTGGTGTCAATTGGTTATTTGAGAAATCGAAAGTGGCTAGCGTGGTCTGTACTCTTATCGGCAACGATACGCGTCATCACAGTGGTCAAAATGTTGTGGACTCACGAGGCTCACAAATTTTGGAGGAAAACAGCAAATTTTGCAGGAATCTCAGTGACCAATCACAAACACGGACTTAATTTTCAACTGACATCATCATTTCACCAGAAGAAGAGATGGGCTCCTGATGTAAGGTAACTCCCTTTTCTTCCTTGCCGATGTGCGCTCATGTAGACCGGAACTGACCTGCTTCGCGGGAAAAGAAGCCTAAAAATAGATCGCTCTGTAAAAATGCCATAACATAGGTTTAGTATGTTAGTTGCACGCTCTTAGTGATGGGCTCCTGCTTCATACCATTTCTGATTCTGTGTTGTCGCCCTGTATTTTCACTCATTGATTCATTGATTCATTGA